GAACTAGGATCCCACATGCTGCGGGGTGAGGCCAAAAAAAAAGAAGAAGAAAAAAAAGTAAAGCAACTGACAAAGGAATTTAAGAGCTGATCAAAAAATTTTAGAAGTGCTATCATCTCTAAAATGCTTGATAAGCCTGAAAAGCCTAATTATACCTGATGTTAATCTCTCTCCTTCTTATATTCACTCCCATAATAAAATTATTTCATTAAAGCAGATATTAAAAAACAGACTCAGATCTGTTTCATCGATTAGTACATTAGCAGATTAGAAATGTGAAACCATTCTCTCTCTTAAAAACAATCCCAGCTTCACCAATAGTAAATATTTCTGTTACTTTCTCTCCATGAGAAAATGGATAAACAGGCTGGAGGCAAGGGAGCCAGGGAAACAGTCTTTTTTTCTAAAGAAGAAATAAGCATTTCAGTAGATATATGAGTTGTTTATGATTTAAAACAAATTGATGTAAAATTTCTGAAAATAGAATAATTTTCATTCTCAATAAAAAAATGTGTAATCTCTATATGAGCAAATATGGTATATACCTGATTGAACTGCATTTCTAAAGAATCAAAATGTAGTAGGCTTGTGGTATCATAATGTAATGGTTTACAACTCAACTTGTATAAATGGAAAGCCTTTAAATAGAATCCTCACTCAAGATTTATAAAATAGAGACTCCATAAAATTAAAATTCTTTGCTCTTTCATTATTTAAAAGAGTAAAGAGTAGAGAAGAGTGAGAAAGAAAATGTTAAGCAGCATGTTTTGAAGATATAATTCCATTTGATTTAAAAACTAATTGTTGACCTCCTTTGGGGGAAAAAACCACCTTACTTCTAGAAGTGCTGAAGTCTTTCATAGATGTGCATGGTTTCAGTTTTCCATTTGTCACTGTGAGAACAAAGTCAGCCTGTAGTGCTCTTTTTACTTTCTTTAGTTTTATTCAAGGTGGACTCAATTCAAAAAAGGCATTCAGGGAAGGCATGTGAAAGATTTTTCTTAATAGCTACAACATGAATCATTATAAAATTGAAACCTTTTGGGTGAGAGTAATCCAGGGATAAGAAACTTTCACATGTAATTAGTATCCATATACATGATACCAGTATAATGAAGTTCTAATTTTTAAATTTGCCATAATTCTCTGTTTCATGGTTCACATGTAATCACTACCTGTTAGTTGTCTTAGAGTTTTGAACTGACAGCACCTTCTTAACAAATGTGCATGTGAGTTTTAGTTTGATTTTCAAATTTTGTAAATAGACTATATCATAACCTCCATTATGAAACATCATAGACGTATGTCACCTCTTATTAACATTGTATTGCAACTCAGAAAACAGTTCTATCAATATAGCCACAGTATTAAATACTCTTTATTTTAAAAAATGATATAATCTCATTCATAGAACAATTCTGTTCACTTATTTAGACCTCAGCTTTAGCAGATTTCAGACATACACAATCACAAAGACAGCAATAAATAAGTAGTTGTGAAGATATGGCATGCTTGATGACCTAAACTTTTTACAGAGGTAAATCAAGGAAACTTCAGTTAGTCCACAATAAACTTTTAATATGTTTGTAGTAATAAATACTCTATAGTCTCTCTGTGTCACTCACCTTCTAGTAACCTGCATATTTCAAAATAAGCTTTTGGAATTAAGTATGAAAATAAATGGGCAATATATGTGTTTAAAATTTCAAAGAATGAGATTTTTCTATTTTCTTAGCTGACTTAATCCTAATACAAAAGGGCTATGATTATCAATATCGGGAAGACTGAAAAAAGATCACTAATCTATGGTCAAAACCAACAAAAACATATAAAGTATTAAATAAAAGGCCTAATTCTTGAAAATCTAAGGATATTGCCACAGATTGTCCACCTTATTAAGATACTGTTTTGTCAGAGTTTTTAGTTTGTCTATTACTCAATGCCAGTGTGTTTTCAGGGTATTTTACAGTTGACTTTTACATGAGCTTCTAAAATTTTGTTCCATAACATAGTCAAGAGGTCTTTTATATAATAAATAAGTGTTCAGTATATATGTGTGGCTTTAAATTGGCAATCATTTGAATCTGGCATGATTAAATGTTTATGTTTACTTAAAATGACTTGGTATATAGCTTAGGCAGATTTGCTAGATCCTGGGATAACACATTTAATTTCTTCAATTTAAAATATTTTAAAGATATCTACCATACTTATTTCATTTGAAAAGTAAACTGTTCTTATTGGTTGACATGTCATCATTCTCTTCTGTGATACAACATAGCTGAATAAATTCACTGTGTGGAAAATCAGAATAGCTTTGTAAAATCTACAATAGTTGATATCACATTTATTTTTACATTGCATTCACTTCTTTTTATTTGGTTTCCTAGGCCTCCATTTTTTTAAACCAGTATTGAGAAGTTTGGGGATTGTCATAATTTATGCACGCATTTTTTTCCTGCCCAAAACTAAGTATACTAGAGTAAACTTAAAGACTAAGGAACTTAAATTTGGAAACCGATATACTCATCTGCAGTGACTTTAGATGTTTACTTCCTTACCACATTGAGGGCTTCTGAACATCCTGAAATCTAACCTCAACTATCATCCAAAGGTCAATATCATTTAGGACTAACATTTCTTACCAGGTTTTTCATGTACTAACACGTCACATGCTGTTTACATAATTCTTCCTTTCCACTTCCTTTTTAAGCTGTTCAAAAACTGCCATCAACCACAGCTACCATATATCCCTGGGCAGGAAACTATTCCATAGTTAAGCATGAGTTTTAGGTTGTTTTGTCTTTATGAATTTCCGTGGTCTGATGAAAAGTGATATTTCTTTGACCGTCATCTCAATTACCACTTGGGAGTAGTAGTCTTAAATTATTAATACAAATGATTTACTTTGTTATGAAGCAATATGATACTCAACATTTGAAGATAAATTTGTATTTCTGTAATTAAACAAGCAGAATTCATTCACTTTATCAGCTCAATGGTCTGTAAAGTCATGAAGCACTTCAACCATATAGTGGGACCCCACTGATGTGCACCTGGTTTTGGCAGATAATTATTCATTCATTCACTGAACAAATAGTCATTGAACATTTTCTATATTCCTAGTGTAAGGTGCTGGAAGAAATAACCCATTCAAGCTCACACTACTCGAATCTATGCTATGTGTATGTGTCTAAACCTAGGACCTAAAGCTTCATCATTATAAGGTCATTTAAGTACAATTTTTTTAAAGTATGTAGTTTGGTCTCATCCTCCACGAGGTGACTTGTGGGATAATTCAATTCCATGGTATAGAGAAATTTTTAAATCTCCTTTTAGCATAGGTTATTTGTCATCATTTTTTCCCCAAAACCTAGACTAGTGGAACCACCATGAGTTACATAAGCACTCTCAGCAGATTTTGCCTTCTCACTCAATTTGACATGATCATTTAAATTGATTCCTCCTAATTGACTTAGCCTGGTAAACATATTAATCTAATAGATATTTTTCACCTCTTAAAATTAATTCTTCCCCCGATGCCTACTGAATACACACAAAAAAAGGTAGTTACTATAAAGGAGTATAAATTTCAAGTTTCTTAAAACTGGGAAAACAATAAAGGAAAAAGCAAGTTAAACTCTGAATGAGAAACAGTAAGTTTGCAAAACAAGTGCTCTAAAGAGTACAAAGAACATTTTATGTAAGTCTGATTCAAAAGATTGTTATGTTTGTTGGAGAGTTGCTTTTATTTTTTTAAGTGTAATTCTCAAAACTTAATGTAGTGACCTGCTTGTGCCAAAAAGATATCAAGCTTAGCTGTCAAGGTTTGTGCACATAAGGAGATACATTTTAATAATAAATATTTAGATAGAAACTTTGAAGAGAGGGCAAAGAAAGTGCTGTGAGGTATCAATATTATAATTTCCTTATCCTATAAATAGGCTAAACTATGGAAAGTCTTTATGGAAGCTTTAAAATATTTACTGGTCTTAGAATAGGAGTTAGTATTTAAATACACAAAAGACTGAAGAGAATATTTTGGGTGGAAAAATCAGGGAAAATAATTAGCTTAAGTACCTATATTTAGGGCTTAATCAGTCCTTAAATAGAATTTTGAAAAAAATCACTTCACTGACTCCCAAGCACAGTTTCATGAATCTTCTCCAGGCTTGTAGGAATTAAAAATGTAATCTAAAGGAAGAACATTTAACAATTTGGATGTTCACAAATTGTCATATTTGAAATAAATGGAATTAATTGACTCATTCAGATAATGAATAAACCTAATTACCAACCAAACCAAAACAGACTCTGTAAGGTTAGCAGCAAATTTGCATATTGAATGACATTTAAATAACATCAGTATCAATGAATACTGTGAATATGTTATACATTTTTTCATCCTAAATCAACTTTTAAAAAAAATTTAAGGGGAATGAAAGTGACACAGAAAGAAAGAGAGAGAGTAAAAGAGAAAGCAGAAGACCAAGGCCTTTGAGCAAAAATAAACTGTTGCCTTGTCTTCAAATATCTGTGTGTTGAATTCCCCATGTACTCAGTATATTAGAAAATTAACTATCCCTATACAGCCCCCACTACAAACCAAGATCATTTATAAAAACAAAAGAAGTGCTTTCACCTAATAAATAATCACACATTCAGCTACATATGGAAGAGATCCCAAAACACTAGACTGACATTTATCTATTTTCCTTTGCTTGTGTTTCAATACTTTTGGCACATAGGGGATTATTAATATTTTTGCTTGAGACCATTTAGGCCTTATATCAAAAATTCTGCTTCAATGCATAAATAGCAGCATGCCAGAGATGCCTAAATTCACAGTAAGATTTAGGGCTATTTTTTGCCAAAAGCTGTGAACATGCAAGTTGATTAAGTGTTCTCTTTCATGCTCCTGTCTGTGTTATTTCATTGGATAGTGAGATAGTCGGCACTTTAGGTCCATTATTAAAGTAGCTGGATACAGCATTTGCTACCTGGCAAAACTTTTGAAGAAGGATCTTTCTTAGCAGCAGATAAACCCAGGGATCCAAGATCTGGTTCAGTGAAGCCAGGCGAACAGCTATTAAGAAGAAGTTGCATTCATCCTGATTTTCTGTATTTGTCTTGCAGTGCTCAACTGATGTGTGATTGAAGATCATGTTCAACATCATTATCTAAGAAAAAGTGACATATTATTTCAAAGATTAATAAAGTCATATGCATCTCCCCACATGGTACTTTGTACATGGTTAGTTTACAATAAGTTGGTTGTTGGATTAAAATGATTAATTCAAGCAACATTTATACTCACAGAACACAGCCCTGAATTATATAAGATATTCCTCTGGATTTTCCCACATTTTTGCCTATTCAACATGAGGCAGATTTTTTTTTTAAAGTACATATTCTCTGGCTCTTGGTCCTTGGGATTTTAGAAGTTGGAAAATAACACATCTCAAAATTAGCCAGAGTCATCTGTCTTGTTGCAGAAAATACCAGTAGGTTGATACCCTAATGGGTCAACACTTAAACAAAACCAAAACATATGTAATCTTAAACTTTGGTAGCTGTAACTAAAAAAAAAAAAAAAAACTACTTAAGAAAAGATAGACACAAGAAAGGGGAAAATAGCAGTTACATATTATTAGTATTATTATTATTGCCATTAGCATTTTCTGAATCCTTACAATTTGCCTGACACTGTGTCAAGTTCTTCATATGCTTTTAATAAATAATAGAAGATAAATACTACTGCCATCTCATTTTTATAATTGCGGAAACCAAGCTTTAATGATATAAAATAGCTGAGTCAAACTTAAACCCAGGTTCACTAACATATGAAAGATAGCATTTTACCCTTCTGGGTCTCTACCCAGTCACTGCACACACACCATAATGTAAACTTCATGAAGGTAGGATCTGGACCAATACCTTTTTCCCCACTAGTTCATTCCCAGTACCTAGACTAATAATTAGCAGGTAGTGTTCAATAAACATTTGTGAATGAATATGTGACACATACATGAATATATTAATATATGACATCTATAATATACATAATATATTTATATTTGAATGAATAAATATTTGTGATTTCCACAGGAGAGAAAAAAAGTGTAGATTCATACACATCAGAAAAGATATTCAAACTCGTTAGTCCATTAGATAAATGAATGTTATGACGAAGTAAGAAACCATTTTATATTCACTAGTTTGAAGAAAATGAAGCATGACTTTTCTAAATGTTAGTGAGGATGGGAAGCAACATAGACTTGCACACAGTAGTACCAAGAGCATGAGCTGGAGCAGCCACCTCGGAAGACAATCCAGCTCTCTCACCTGTTACCTTGCAGAAGCCCCACTCCCAAGAATGCACTGGCCTGAATTCCTGCACCACAGGTTGTGTGCATGACTGTTCATTACCACATTGCTCATAACAGCAATAAAAAAGAGCAGGAACAACCCCAAAACAGGTTCACACTTGCAAGCAAAGAAAGGTGCTGACTTTATTACCAGCTCCTAAATTGGTCTTTCTAGACATGCATGGCTATTAAGCACTTCAAATGTGGCTGAAGAAAATTGAGACATTGAGAAATATAATGATTATATAACGAAATGATAATATTTTTATATAGTGTGTTAAAATACACTATTAAACTTAGCATCATTTGTTTCTTGTTACTTTTTTAAAACATTTTGTAAAATATTACACTACTAGAAAATTTAAAATTATACATGTGGCAAGCATTTGTTGTTCACATTATATTTCGACTGAACTCAAAGTGTCGCTTAAGACCAACATTTATTTGGATGGTCTGTCCTCAGGTCACATATCCCAAATTGAAGGGTTTGAAACATCCCAGAGCATCCTAAACACCCAGAAACCTACTATCCACAGAAATGGCACTTAACTTCTTACAGTCACCCTGACTCAACACATCAGGGTCACCTGTGAAAGCTTCTTCTACCTCATCCTCTGCAATCTGGTTTGCTCTTTTTCCAGTCTCATCTTAGTTTAGCACTTCCTCTCATCTGATTTATAGTAATAACAGAGACCCCAATAGCACAAACAGATGTCAGCATGACACAAATTCGGCACCCTAAATCCCAGCTCTGATCAAATCCTCACCAGCTATACAAATGTCAACTCGGTCATACTGAACAGAGTTGTGTGTGTGGTAGTCGCTCAGTCGTGTCCGACTCTTGGTAATCCTGTGGACTGTAGCCCGCCAGGCTCCTCTGTGGAATTCTCCAGGCAAGAATACTGGTGTAGGCAGCCATTTCCTTCTCCAGGGGATCTTCCTGACCCAGGGATTGAACCCAGGTCTCCTGCATTGCAGGCAGAGTCTTTATCATCTGAGCTACCAGGGAAGCCCTACCAGGGACAGAGTTGAGTCACAGATTAATTCTTAAAACAATCACTCGCAAAGGGAATGTAAATGTCCAGGTTTTGCTTATAATATAGGTCCCTAACTGGCAACCCACTCCAGTACTCTTGCCTGGAGAATTCCATGGACAGAGGAGCCTGGCAGGTTATAGTCCATGAGATCGCAAAGAGTTGGACATGACTGTGCGACTTTCACTTTTCAACCCCCAGATCATGGACCAGTACCAGTCCATGGCCTTTTAGGAACCAGACTGCACAGCAGGAGGTGGGTGGTGGGCAAGGGAGCCAAGCTTCACCTGCCACTCCCCTGAGCTCCCCACACTCACAGTTCCCCACACTCGCATTATCACCTGCACCATTCATTTCCCCAACCCCCTCCATGTCCCCTACCCGCCCCACACACACCCCCTACCCCTGGCCCGGCAGTGGAAAAACTGTCTTCCACAAAACTGGTCCCTGGTGCCCAAAAGGCTGGGGTCCACTAGCTTATAAGACAAAACCGTTCTCTGTGGCTTGCTTCAGTCCTTGACCAATTTACACCCACTATCTGAACAAAATTATGGCTCTATAAACAAAAAGAAGAGAAAAATGTGTAGACATATAGTCTGTCACTTCTTTCAAATTTTTTCCAAGGGATTTATTCAATAAAAGGAAAAATAAATTGGACAAAGAAGTGAATGGTCAATAAAGAATAATCTAGTAAGAAACTGCAAACATATAAATCTCTAATATCAGGAATAAAGCTTAATAAAATACAGGTGGTTACATAATTATATATATATGTATTGAGTTAAGTGAAAAAAAGAATGTAAGGTAGTATGAATATAAAGTTATATTGCTATTACAATTAAATGTAAAATATGTATTTTGATTTGTGGAAGGCAATGGAATTATTACTATTAAATAATTATTCAATTATTTAAACATTTTTATCTGTATAAGAACATTTCAAACAATTTAGGAAAGTCTTTTGTTTAAAGGAAATGAATTATTCCCTTCATTAATAAATATGAATTATTATAACCAAATTTATTTAAAATGAATAATCTAATTAGTATCTTCTGATGCTGACTCATAGCCCTGTGAACTGAACACTACCTCCCACATGTGATTAATGTTACGGCCTCAAGATGGGGAGATTATCCTGAATTATCTGGGTAGGTTCAATGTAACCACATGGGTCCTTAAAATCTGAGAACCTTTCCAGCTGTGGTCAGAGGGACATGGATCCAATAATTAAATATGTTTGGCCATTTACTACTTTTCAGGAAGTGTTCTGAACCTCATCTAAAATGATTTAAGAACTCATATAAGTTACATCTTCATTTTTTTTTACAAAATAAAATATTGAATTTCTCCCACTTTGTATAATCAGGAAAATTCACAAAATTACTTATTAAGATGGAATTTCAGTCATTTTATAGTCTTCCTTGATTATTCTAAAATTAATTTTTATGAGGCTAATAATTTAAAATTATTTCATTAGGCTAATACAGGTTTCATATGCCTAATATTGGTTAGTCTACTGTAATTTCCCATAATTTCCTATTGAGAACGCAGTGATTATGAAATTATGAAACCAAGCCCTGGAAGCAATATCTGGCACATGCGGAGAGACACTCTAGCTTTTCCCAGAATTCATGACATGTACAGTACGAAGATAATTGGAATTAGAGGCAGTGAGTGTGATATTACTATTTCCAAATGGCAGCAGGGATGGAAATAGAACTCCTAATTTCTTGTCTAATTGTGAACATAAATGCAAGTTGTTATTTAGTCGCTCAGTTATGTCTGATTCTTTGTGACCCCATAGCCTGTAGCCCGCCAGGCTCCTCTGTCCATGGGATTTCCCAGGCAAGAATACTGGAGTGGGTTGCTATTTCCTTCTCCATGGGATATGCCCGGCCCAGGGATCGAACCCACATCTCCTGCACTCTCACTTTACCACTGAGCCAGCAGGGAAGCCAAAATGCAAGTTAGCACCCATGAACACAGCAAGGAAATGAGTCTCCAACACTGCTTCAGAGCTTCCAGCAGGGAATCCAGCCCTGTGGGCACCTTGGTGTCCTGTAGGCGTCCTATACTAGACTTCTTTCTGTTTACAGAGCCAAACAGAGATTACAATTTTTGCAAATATTTTTTTAATGATCAGACTTCAGGAGAAAGTCTTCAGACATCAGTATGTAGATTTCTGGTAGATTAATTATTCCTATTAGTCCCATTCTACCAGGGACAAGGGACAAACAAAAAACAGGATGCTTGGCCACCATGGAAGCTATTATTTTAGGAAACACACCGCACAATTGCTCCTTCAAAATGACCTCATATAACAATCTGGTCAAGAGAGCTGTGAGACCAACTCTGGTTGAAGGGAGCAGTTACTTTTCTGCCTGAATCTTCCCCAGGCTTCATATGACTCTCCCAGACAGGCCTCTTGCCTCTCCTCTGGTTATCAGCAGGAAGAGAGAGTTCTTTTTGTACCATGATAAGAATGTACACAACCACATTAGTAACCCCTAAATTCTCCATCCCTGCCTAGTGTCAAGGGCAATTACTTTTCTTCATCCTAAAGAAAAAAACAAGATCTGTCCCTTCCCCAGTGAGAATGATCTTTAAAATGTACAAAACACTAAAAGGGAAACTGTTCTTTGGGTTTTTTGGTTTTGTTTTTTTTTAATCACGCTGCATGGCTTGCAGTATCTTAGCTCCCTACCAGAGACTGAACCAGCCCCAGCAGGGAAAGCATAGAATCCTAACCACTGAATCTCCAGAGGGTCCCTGGAAGAC